TTGGTATGCACACATTTATTTAGAGCTCATCATGGCTGCACCCCAGTATTAGTGCTCATGCCTGGGGCTAGGGCCAACCTTCATGTGATCGTTCACCTCTCGCACCGCACGCTCACCTTGGATTCAAGTCTGGTGCTAGCCTGTCGTACAGACCACAGTAGGTGGTTCCGACTCGTAGGTGACCTGCTAATTATCGCACAGCCTTTACGTGATCGTAGCACTTGAGCATACATATTTATACCCAGTCTGTTGTACAGGTCACACTAGGTGACTCCGACTCGTGTGCTAGCCTAGATTGATGAGCTACAGGTCCAGTTGTACAGGTCACGTTAGATGACTCCGACTGACATACTATTTTATATTGATTTCACACTTGGCTTACATTTATTATTGCTGAGATATTATGACATTGCATACTTCAGTTTTTGCTGCTCTTGTGCATTGGTTTTCATACATACGTAGTAGTATTTTCTGGAAACTATACAGGTTTTACGGTGATGGATTATAACGTTTTCAAAAGGTTTTTTTTTAAACTTTATTTTCAGGCCCATTCACCCTTATTTTTCGCCTATCCAGGTTCTAGTAGTGGAGTTTTCGTCGACAAGGATTATCGGCAAATCTTGGTGTAGACGATTACCATCGATGGTATAATTCTTACCCTATTTTATTGTATTGTACTTATGCTCTATCATCACGTGTGAATTAGGTTCATTTCCACTCACAACGCACTTTTATATTTAGGCACCTTTAGGTTTAAATTTATTCATATTTTCCACATGACTACACTTTATGGCTTCGTCACCTTCCAGGTGTTGGCCAGCACAGCTCGATCCGGAGTCCTAGTGGTCATACCGGGTCAGGGTGTGTCATTTTTTTTTAATTACTTTAATTTAAATTGACATATTCAAAATAAAATTACATATGAAAAATTGTGATCAAATTATCCAATATATATAATATATTCAAAATGTACACATAAATTAACAAAGTACAATAATAAAATCCTAATACAAGTCTATTGTGGTGGTAGTGGCCGGGGATATGTTTCGATAGTGTCCTAATCCTCAACTTTAGCCGTCAAAGTCTCGACGATTCCCTACAAAATATATATATATATATATATATATATATATATATATATATATATATATTTATGGTCAGATAACAAAAAATTGGCATAATCTCCCCTACCCAAATCCGACCCCAAACTCCACTCCTCATCCTTGACTCGACCCAAACCCCGTACCAAACTCAAAACTAACTTCAAAAACACATACTAATGAAAAAAAAATTAAAATTTGGGGAGAATATACATTTGAGTGAGAATGAGAGGAGTGAGTGTGAGAGAATTAGAGGAGATAGTGAGAGAGATGAGAGAATGAGTGAGAGTGAGAGATAGTAAAGAGAGAGAAGAGAGATTAAGTGAGAGGAGTGAGACTGAAAGAGAGGGTCGGATTTGGGGAGAGGGAGAGAGATGAGTGGTAAGAGTAGAGAAAGACATTGAGAAAATTGAGGAGTCATTTTGGTTTTAAAACCGTATCACTTTGCACGGCGAAGGGTACGAGTTTGCATGACAAAATATTAGTAAAAAAAAGTCTTAAAAAAAATTCCCGCATCCCATTTTTTTGCCCGCCCAAATTTTTAGAGTTTTGCCGACGAAGTATTGGTCGCGCGAAGTTTTGCGCAATGAAGTATTGGTCGTACAAAGTTTTGAGTGACGAAAAATTGGTCGCGCAAAGTTTTGCGCGACCACTAAAAAATAAAATTAAAAAAAAAATTCAGCGGCCCATTTTTGGTGCCCGCCCAAATTTTTAGAGTTTTATGCGATGAAGTGTTGGTCGCGCAAAGTTTTGCACGACCACATGAATAAAATTAAAAAAAAAAATTCCCACATCCCATTTTTTGTGGCCACCCAAATTTTTAGAGTTTCGTCGCGCAAAATTTTGCATGACGAAAAATTGGTCGCGCAAAGTCTTAAAAAAATTTGAAAAAAAAAATCATGTGTCCCATTTTTTTGCTCCCATCCAAATTTAAGGATTATTGGTTTGTCACGCAAAATTTGAATATTTTTTATAAATAATAAAATTTACTGAAAATGTGACTTTACTCCCTTCAAATTCAATTTTTTTTTTACATAAAACCCACAATAATATATTTTTCTAACAAAACCCCGATCCGCACTACAGTAATAAATTTAAAGCTACTTAATAAATATATTACTATTTAATTTCTTAAGTGTTATACATACAAAATAAACAAATTTAAAGCTACTTAATATACATATACCATTCAACGATCCAACCATCAAACTTGTTTGTACATACTTCGAGATCATATATGTCAAAAATTGCAAAAAACAAATATTCAGAGATCAAGTAATGGGACAAAACTTTTTGACGGTTATTAACGAAAAATCACGATTTAACGGTTATTTTAATTCCGATTTAGATGATTTTTTACTGCTACACTCCATGATCCTATATGAATACAGTGACTGAATTCGATCTTCAATTTAAAATATTTACACTAGTGGATACTATAAAATCATATGTTATACTTAATGAAAGTATAAATAAACTACAAGTGTTAGTGAATCTATTGTTTTGATAGGATACGCATTCTACGAAACTGGTTTCAATGATCCAACCGTCAAACTTGTTTGTATATATTTAGAGATTGCATACGCCAAAAATTGCAAAAAAACAAACATTTAGAGATCAAGTAACGGGACAAAACTTTTCGACGGTTATAAACTAAAAATCATGATTCAACGGTTATTGTAATTCCGATTTTGATGATTTTTTACAGCTACACTCCTTGACCCTATATGAATACAATGACTTAATTCGATCTTCAATTTAAAATATTTACAATAGTGGATACCACAAAATCTTATGTTTTACTTAATGAAAATACAAATAAACTCTTTAAGTGTTAGTGAATCTATTGTTTTAATGGGATATGCATTCTATGAAACAAGTTTCAACGATCCAACTGTCAAACTTGTTTTTATATACTTCGAGATCGTATACACCAAAAATCACAAAAAACAAACGTTCAGAGATCAAGTAACGAGACAAAACTTTTTGACGATTATAAACGAAAAATCATGATTTAATGGTTATTTTAACTCTGATTTTGATGATTTTTTACAGCTACACTCCTTGACCCTATATGAATACAATGACTAAATTTGATCTTCAATTTAAAATATTTACACAAGTGGATACCACAAAATCTTATGTTATACTAAATGAAAATATAAATAAACTCTACGTATTAGTGAATCTATTGTTTTGATGGGATACGCATTCTACGAAACTAGTTTCAACGATCCAACAGTCAAACTTGTTTGTATGTACTTCGAAATCATATACACCAAAAATCATAAAAAAACAAACATTCAGAGATCAAGCAACGGGACAAAACTTTTCGACGGTTATGAACAAAAAATCACAATTTAACAACTATTTCAACTCCGATTTTGATGATTTTTTTACAGCTACACTCCTTGACCCTATATGAATACAATGAACTAATTCGATCATCAATTTAAAATATATTTTTCAAACAAAAATTCAATCTGAACTACAATAATATATTTTTCTAACAAAAACTTGATCCGAACTACAATAATAAATTTAAAGCTACTATATATATATATATATATATATATATATATATATATATATATACCATTCAATTTCTTAAGTGTTACGCGTACAAAATAAAAAACGAAAATAAATTGGTTTAGGCGATGAAATATTTGAATTACGTCGCGCAAAGATTTAGAATTTATTTTTTTTATTTTTGTAAAGAACTTGCACGATGAAGTTTAAATTTTCGTCACGCAAGGGTTTTTTTTTTACTAGTGTACAGTTTTTATTGTATCAAGGGTGCCGGTGTGGCTTATGGTGGGTTTCAGTGTGGTTCAGGTATGTTTGCAGAGGGAGCGGAATTGAGGGCTGGATTTAGCGTGCTTAGAGCAAGGGTTATGGAGGTGAAGACTGAGTCTGATTCTCAGCCTTTTATTTGAATGCTTAAGGGAGAGATCCTTGCAGAGGCTAGTTTAAAAGACTTTCTATTTGATATAAAGAGGGTGGCACAACATTTGAAGTCTCTGGTGTTTCTCCATGCTTCATGAGAATGCAAGGACTTCACACCGTGGCTCTTATCTCCACAAATAGGAGCTTTCCTGTAGATGAAAATGTTTCGAATCTTTGTGGCATTTCAATACTTTAGCGGCTCATATAAATATTTTTATTTGAGCGTAGTAAAACTTTCTTTCGTTCGGCAAAAAAAATTTAGAAATTCGCATGAGAACCGACCATTTTCTAATCATCGTTTATCCAAAAATCAAATTGGTTATCTTTAAGTAAACTATATGTATCAAACAAATGAATGGTTCATTATGAGGATGTTATTAATAGTTACTAAAATGGTCAATTTGTTTGATATATGAATGACTAAATGATATCTAACTTAATTGATTTATTGTATGAAATCATGGATTCTTTTATTAAAAAGTGATTTATCACATGGAATCATGGATATTCTTTAATTAAAAAGTTTATGCAATAAAAATATGACAATTACAACAAAGTGACGCACCGATAGAGTTGATGCAATTATATTGTTCGTAAAGTTAATTAGTATACTAAACTTTGAAGGGGAAGGTCTACCCTTTAACAAAACCCGTGAAATACGAACCCATTTTAATCCTGTTAAAACAAGATTAATCAAAAGAAATTATTTTTCTAATGATGGGAAAGTTTAATCGACTAGCAAACTCACAACAATTATTTACTTAAAACGATCGATCACCAAAACACAATAAAATAATAGCTTCAACCAAAAAACAAAAACTATCCTCAAACTAAGACCTACACTAACTAATTAACAACTTACCATTAGTTTAGCACCCTGACTTTTTTTCCTAAGAATCTTGATGACTCCATTGCAAAATACGCTCTCTAGACTCTAGTTCGTCCAACAAATCATCACCACGTTCCCTGGCCTTCGTTGTTTCTCATAGCCTTAAGCTCACGTTCATATTCCCTGACATGGGGAAGTAACCGAATAGAACTCGAATCAACCACTGGCATTCCATTAACAGACTCCCATCCTGCCCCAATCTGATGTTCCATTGAATTTGGCAGTGGAAATTGAGAAGAAAATGGCTCCCTTGGCGGTGGAATTTGATTGTTGCAGTTGTGGATTGGTCCTGGATGATCGGACCATGTTTGATTTTGGAAATAATGCTGCTCATAATATGCCGGTGTTGTCGAGGTTGACGTAACACAATGTTTATTTACAATGGAAGAAGTAGTGCCACTAGATTCACCAGTAAAAAGATACGGATGTTGAATTGATTGATCTGGAAAAGCATGAGATGTTACAGTATTTGTAGCTGCAGGCAGTATAGCTCCTTGATCAGTTCTGATAGTACTCTGAGGTGCATTGTCGTCGTTGTTCTTCCCATCCTTCTTGATTCTGCTATTCTTGTAAATCTTACACAAAACACAATCATCTAACTGCAGAATTAAGAAAAAAATTAGTACAGGCATACAAAGTACTCTTGATTAATATATATATATATATATAGGTCCCCATGCATGCAAAGACATAAGAGTACTAGAGCACTTGCACCAACAAAAAAATAGTAGAAACGAAAGAACCCTTAGAATTTTAGGATTTCTATTATTAAACCCTAAATAATAGGAGAGAACGCTTAGATTTCTAAAGGATCACTTGGATTAAAACCAAGATACACAAATTTTCAATCACATGCACATACAAGAATTCAAGATGGTTTGGGTGGACTGCATTGTGAACATCTCTATGAAGTGACCAACTTGACTTAAGGCGTCAGTTCTATTTGAAAGAAGATCTAACATGTTTTGCGGTAAAAATTGTACTATGCTTCGGTGTATCCTATATACACTAAATCATAATAAACAATCTCCTATTGAGCTTCATAAAATAGTCCACAATTGGACCCTCGCAAATATTTTTAATTCATATGACTCTGCACACCCCTCACACACACACACAGAGACATGTACGTGCACACTTGCATACCTTCATGTTAGTACCATCAATTTGGTTAGAAGGAGCGGTCTCTTTATTGAGCTTATATTCATGCATTTTCCAGTCCGTCTTTGTCCCTTTTCCTTGTTTCCCTTCATAATAATCTAGAGTCCTTTTAGACCCAATTACTTGGCCATTATCATCTTTAATGTCATCAGGCTTGCCAGTTGCCTTCCAGTATCCATTATCTGCTGCTCGACATGGCCGTCCTCCTCTCGGGTACTTCCGTCTCCTTGAAGTGAAAAAGTACCACTCACTCTCTCTAATCAAATTGTAATCTCCTGGAAGGATAAAAAATAAAAAATAAAAAAACCACACCAATCTTATTAAAACCTCAAAATTTGCCTTTTATATCTTATTTGTTACAACTACAAGTCATGGATAGAGAACCGATTTAGAGTAGTATTACTAGTACGTATAACAGCATACTTCAATGGCTTCCAGTTATATATTACCAAAGAAGAAAAACATTGTCGTTGGCATGCGTAGATTTAGAAGGAATTGCAGGATTAACAGCTAGAGATTGGCTACAGACTAATATACTAAAGAGAGTAAAATAGTTTTCAAAACCTAACCTGATAATATTGACCATACACACATAAAAACATACTTTCGTATACAAAATACGTACTTACCATAAAGCATTCATGGTAAAGAACTAAAACGGTAGAGCAATATTGTTTTCATACATTATAAAATTTCAGAACGTAAAGAAAAGAAGATATTATGACAAAGAAAAGAAGAAAACGTAAAAGATACTTGAAACACAAGAAACACAAAGCACTACTTTTTGGGGCAAGATTTATTTATTTTTAGCTTGTAAGAGGACTGTAATGATAAAGAGGATTGCAGAAAAAAAGAGAATGTTAAGAGAAGAAGATAACAAGAATCTAACCGGTAAGGTCTCGAGGATGGTGATCGTAGAGATTAACAATACGAAACCTGTTAATGGGAAGCTGCTCATTCAAAACCTTTCTCATCAAGTAGTGTAAAATCAATTCATCGTCGGTAGGGACAAATCGATAACCCGGTGGAAGAGAATCAATATATGCATCAACTGGACCTACTTCATTGAGAACTGGAACCATGTTGTTGTTGAACTGATGATTTTTTTGACTTTGAAGGAGATAAAATAATGCTCCTAATTTATGATTATATATGAAGCCCTTTATAAGAACCTGAAAACTGTAGGCGTGAAGGGTTTTGAGCGGGGATTTGGGCCTTATTTGCATAGGACTAGAATTCCTTCATAAAGTTTTCTTTCTTTTCCGAAATAGGTGTAATAAGCCATATACAGCAATGTTTAGGAGTTTTAATCGAATTATGCTTCCTAAATTCGTGCATATTGTGTAATATATATATATATATATATATATTTTTTTTTTTTAATTATTATTTTTTTATATATGCACAACCACGGTTTTATTGGGGGGAATAAGATAGATAAACGATAATCCTGGTGTAATATATTATTTGTATGTATATATTTCCATTTTGTATCATACGTATTAATACTCCAGAATTGATGCAATTTTATCGTTAAATTCAGAATTTCTCCATTGGTCATACGAAGATAACCCCCACCTTGATAACAATTGCAACAGAATTTTGCTATACTCAGTCCAGTCTAAAGGATAATCACACCTTACTAATTTTCTCGGACTGGGCCTGTTCCTATGTAACAGTTGGATTTTATTGTAAGGTCATATATGGCATTGCTCAAACAAAAGCCGAATATATTGTGGTCCAAGTGTATGGTGAATAAACTGGTAAGTGTTGCAATATTCATGAGAAACTATGGTATAAACTTGTACCAGAAAATATATTATGCTATATTTCAGGTTGACCTGGTGTCATATAATCTGTTGCGTATGTAGCACTGCATTGATATGTGACGATAATATAACGAGGTATGCATTACTGTAATTATATAATTTTACCACATGAATTATTATATGTATTTTAAATATAATACTTAATAGTTTAATGAGTTTGTAACTAAATTAGTTAAGAGCATTTATTTTTGGGAATTGTTATTAGCACTCCAAAAATCTCATATGGCATTCCAAACTTTCTATAATTAGAAAGAAAAATACACTTGTAAGGGAGTGTAAAATAAGATTTTTAGAATACTAATAATATTTCCCTTATTTTTATATTCGAAGCTTTGTGTTTGACTTCCCATCCCATATGATTACTAGTATGAAATAATTCATTAAACGAACATGAGTCCAAATATTATATTTGAGTTCAAGGCAAAGACTCAAATCATATATAATTAAATTGTCAAAATTCGAAGAGATTTTGAATTTTGAGTCTAACCATCTCTAATGCACATACTAAAATTGGAAAATTTGAATATTTAAATTTAATCCTTTTTTCTTCCATGTAAGGACTCATATTTTAAAACTCAAAATTTTAAAATATATGAGTCTAAGAATATAGGTCTTTGCATTGAAAGAGAAAACCAAAATGCTCAAACTCACTATTTTTCTTAACCTAAATATAAGAATATAGGGGTTAAAGTTTAAAAGACTTAGATATTAGTAATTGTGCACTTGTTACTATTTAAGAGATTCTCTTGAGTAACAATTAATCAAATATTGTCAAATAAATGTTAGGCGCATTTGAGCAAGTTCAACCGACATTTTTAGAGGAATTTAGAGTGCCAGGACGAGGCAATATAACAGGACCCAGCACAGTCCTAAAGTTGAGGACATTTGTTGGAAGCATGTCTGCTGAGAGGTCAATCTTCTGACAGATGTTATTAACTATTCCTCTGTTGCTGATTTTCATGTTTAGGGTATAACTATTCCATAGCTGCTCGTCAAGCTTTCCTATTTGATTGTACTAAAACTGATTATCCTAGGAGCTTTGTTTTTTTAATGAAGTCTTTTTCTATCAATAATAAAAATAAAAATAAATCCCTAAGTTGAAATACTAGTGGCTTTTTTCTAGATTGTCTCTGGGTAAACAGCTCGTGCTTTTCACTTTTCATATCAAGTTTTTAGTGGCCTTTTCTAGATTGTCACTTGGTAAAGAGCTTGTTCCTCTCAATTTTCATATCAAGTTGTCCACTGGAGTTACGCCAACTTGCCCATTGGGTGCTATTCCGGTATTCCCCAAAAGAAATTGAGAAATAGATAGAAATGACGCATTTTCTTAGTTAAGTGTTAATTAACTTACTTATTTTTTTATTAGATTGTTAACTAAGTATTGATTACCCAAATCTTATAAACCAAGGGATGTTGTTGTTGGTGATTGGATTATTAATTAAAGTGTTGATCAATGTGCTTATTTCCTATTGATGACACATGATTTGGTTTACAAATTTAGTTTAAAATTTTGGTCTCCCTAGCATTATCATTTACACAAAGGGTACTGCACTAAATTTGTAGACAAAATTTGTTAACTAAATGATATGTCACCAATAGGAAATGAGCACATTTATCAACACTTAATAATAATCCAATCATCAATTTTCATATCATATAGTTTACAAAATTTTGTTAACAAATTTAGTTTCCCTAGCATTATCCTTAAATAAAAGTTGTACTTTCGGTCCACCAACTTTTAAGCTCAAATTAGGGCTTAAAACACCATCCCATTTCTCTAACCTATACGAGGCCTTGGACAAAAATCCCTCTAAAGCGTATTTTCCACGTAGACGACTAGAGCCCAAAAATATATCGCTCCCTTAAATGCACACGTATGCATCATCCAACATTGTGATGTCACTACTGCAATCATGTGAACCGCCTCAAGAAACAGTTGAAGGCAACCAACCAAAAATTACAATTAATGTCAATGCCCAATGATCGATCTACCCCTGCTCCAGCTCAAGTATATGGGCGAGGTTACTCCTTCTCCATTGCCTATACATAGAGTTAGAGGCCTTCAAGCTCGGGACCTTCGTGAAAATATGTCTACATTATACAGACCTTGATTCATTCTTCAATTAACCAAACTGCTTTTCAGCATAAACTCAATTACTTTTCAGCAAACACTTAGTTCTTCAGCTACAATCTCAAAGCCTTCATTCAAAGCAAGCATTGCCTATGATCCCTGAGACCTAAAATTAATATTGTTGTGTCACTCGTTGTATGATTTGGTTGACGTGCAATTCCAACCACCCTGATTCCCTCTCTGAGGAGTATGTTTTGTACTCAGTCCAGTCCGAAGACAGAGACCTCAGCAAGTACTCCTTGAGCATTATCTTGTCCTTCATGGCCTAAATATTGCATGCTAAGAGTTTTACTATTTTATTTACATTTCAAGCCATGTAGCTCGCCCATTGACCTAGATTTTATTTTCACGGACATTTGTAATCTTGACTTCATTGAAATGCTTACATTCTGTTTTTTTTATTTTGGTTTCTATTTTGCTTTCATTTATTTATTAGGCAAGCATACACAAGGTTACATTGAATTTTAAGTGTTCGTTTACTCAATGTACATAAAAGAACTTAACCAAACAAGTGTCCCAATTTATGCACCATTATTTGGCTAAGAAGGCAGTTTCCATGCAACCTCACACTGACTCAAACACAAACCTTGTCGGTTTGCATCCTTCAATGGATACGCCTTTTTTTTTTTTTTGTTCTCTCAAGCCACCTCGCGGAACCTAGACCGAAAGAAAAATTCGGGATACTGTACGTGTTGAACCCCGCGCCAACCTCTTTCCGAGTTTTGGCACCAACAAATGGGTATTAAGTAAAAGGATAAGTCGTAGAAAAGAAACAAATGTAGTAATTCGACTGAACAGAGCTTTTTTTTTTTTTTTTAAGACACAAAATGTATCCGTTTATAGACCACCACTAAGCGAGTAACTAAAATAAATACAAACATAAAACTAAACTGTTTCCATTAAAGAAATAAAACTAAACTGTTCTTTCCATGACAATTGCTTGGTTAACGAAAATGTGACAACAATCAAAAGCCCGTTTTCAACCCGACATTTCACATTTAGAAAGTTTTCAAGACAGGAACAATTTAGTTTACAATGGCTACCACTTCCTGCCCCAATCACACATTTAAAATTGAGCAATGATTATCTCTTCAGTGGCTTATTCATAGACCTGCGTTTTATAATTGGAACTGTTTATGTTATAGAAATTTTGGTAAAGATCATCTCTATAAAAAATCAATTAAAATCAAGATTGTTTAATCAATCAATTGTAGTAAATATATATATGGTTCTTAACACTTTTACCTAATGTGTTCATCTATTTTTATTTAGTTCGATGAATAAACGATCTCATATTTTATTGGTTTTTCCCGGAGATGATTTTTACACAGTGTTTTATAATATGAACTGTTATAATCATAAGCATAAGTTCCGTAAATCGGCCACGTAATGAATTGAGGAGGAATTCCTGCTCATTCATTGAAGAGCGAAATTAATTTCTTTGAAGTCAAATGAAAGTTTGGCTCCTTAAGATTGAGGAGCAGTTCTTCCTCATCAAAACACTTTGCAATTGATTCATGAAATTTTGTGCTTATGACAAAAACCATTCATATTATAAATTATCCTGTAAAGATCATCTATACAAAGAGCCAATTTAACATAAGGTTGTCTAGTGATTCAACTGTAGCAAATAGATAAACAGTTCGTAATGATTTTATACAGTTTGATGACTAAACGATCTCATTCTTTATCATTCTTTGTAGAGATGATATTTACAAAGTGATTTATAATATAAATGGTTCCGATCATAAGTACAAAATTTCGTAAATCGATACAACATCTTGAGAAGGAACTCTTCCTCATTTATTGAGGAGTCAAGTTAATTTCTAGAAATCAGTCTTGCGCCTTTTCTCTTGTAAATGTGCACAATTGGAGAGTGATTTAGAAGCTATACTTCGTTAGTTTTTATTTTTTTTATTATTTTTATTATTAGAGTACTATATGCATTTGGAAAATAATGTATACATGTAACATCTAATAAGAGAAATTCATTAATTGATACGATATGTAAATATCTCTTGCCACATGGTACACCAATATGGTAAAAATATGTGATTTCTGGAGCATTCTACAAAAAAAAATAACCAAAATAAAAATTATGGACAATATAGTAAGTTAAACA